CTTAGTTGATCCCTCCTCTTTGTGCATTGTCAAGTTCATGTTCCGGATCTTTGCTTAGTTGATCCCTCCTCTTTAAGCATTGTCAAGTTCATGTTTCGGATCTTTGCTTAGTTGATCTTTTCTCTTTGTGCATGTGCTTCCACTAGTCTAGCCTCTCCTTGTCAAGTTCGTGTTCCGGATCTTTGCTTAGTTGATCCCTTCTCTTTGTGCATTATCAAGTTCATGTTCCGTATCTTTACTTAGTTGGTCTTTTCTCTTTGTGCATGTGCTTTTCACTAGTCTAGTCTCTCATTGTCAAGTTCATGTTTGATGTGATGTTCCGGATCTTTACTTAGTTAGTCTTTTCTCTTTGTGCATGTGCTTCCACTAGTCTAGTCTCTCATTGTCAAGTTCATGTTTGATGTGAGGTTTCGGATCTTTGCTTAGTTGATCACTTCTCTTTGTGCATTGTCAAGTTCATGTTTCGGATCTTTGCTTAGTTGATCTCTTCTCTTTGTGCATGTGCTTGCACTACTCTAGCCTCTCCTTGTCAAGTTCATGTTCCGAATCTTTGCTTAGTTGATCCCTTCTCTTTGTGCGTTGTCAAGTTCATGTTATGGATCTTTACTTAGTTAGTCTCTTATTTTTTTGCATGTGCTTCTATTAGTCTAGCCTCTCCTTGGCAAGTTCATGGTGGATGTGATGTTCCGGACTTTGCGTAGTAATCGTGTCTCTTTGTGCATGTGCCCTCCACTAGCCTAGCCCTCATTGTCAAAGTTCATGTTTGATGTGATGTTCCGGATCTTGTTTAGATGATCTCCTTCCCTACGAGTATGTGTTTTCCATTGGTCTAGCGTCTCATTGTCATGTTATTCCAAGATATACTTTATTCAATCTCTCACTATGGGATGGGTGATCGACGTTTGGTTGCTGCTACGGGGAGCTGATTTGATTAGGAGTTCTTCTTTGTTTCTCTCTCTCTCTCTCTCTCTCCTTCTCTCTCTCCCCCTTTGCCCTCCTTCCTCCTCTAGACCCCTCTTTCGCCCCCCCTTTTCTACTTTGCCTTCTCTCTCTCCCTCTCTCCTGTTCCCTCACTTGGCATATGACTAACCCTTCTCCCCTCACTTGGAAACATTGCCAGGGTACAGACGATAAACAAAATCAGACTTCACTTGGTAGAGAAAGAGGGCAAGGGGAGGATAGCCGGTCCCTTGTGCCACCAAGGAGGCAAAAGAGAAAGGACATTTGAAAAAGTGGGAGAAAGGCGGAATCCGGAAGAGAACATAAGTTGACAGTGAGGTCAGTTTGACTCAACCATTTCCCCGACTGCATGACTATGAGAAGAGAATGGGCTGATTGAGCAACGAGAGGGAACAAAAAACGGCCTAAGGATTTGAAAAAATAGGCATGTGGGAAGGGCTATGTGTTGACCCCCAACGGGGGATTGTATGGAACTTCTTACTTGTGTGGGATTGTGCAGGTAAGTGATGGCTAGAAATGCCTTGAGCGGGATAGGGGCAAGAGGAACCGGGCACCAAGAGGAAAAGGGAAGAGGGGTTGAGGGGCTATGGGACCCTTGACATAGAGCCAACCCATGGAAATGACTTTTGCGCTTGAAGACTTGGAGTGTAAATGAGAGTGCAATCGTATCAAGGAAAATGCGATGTTGTGTGTGCATGCATATGAGGACTCCGAAAAGACTAAGGGGCCTACTTCAATAAGAAAGACAACAAATTGTGATACCCGATGGATATGTAGAGGCGAGGGAGAGGGCGGCCCCGCCGCACCCCGATGACGCGATATAGCCACAATGCTTACGGAAAGGGTGTGTGGCCGAAGGATAACACTTAGCCTACGCACAAGAGAAGAGAAACACTCAAAGAATCCTTGGACTGCCTGCGTATTGGAAGGCGCAATTGCATGAGAACACAACAAAGAATCAAAGAAAAAATCGGCGTTGCGGAACAACCAGCGAGACTACCACCCGGCGTGAGGGCTGAGCTACATCCCCAATGTCAAAGCTCTCTCGCGCGATGACCCACCCCCATCCATCTCAAAGCACTAGGTGGGGGTGACCTCGGGACGAACAGCCTGCACCCTGAGCATGAGCGTGGGCGGGCCGAGCCAACTCGGGCCCGCAGTGGGGTCGACTACCGGGGTTTGGCCCTACAAAAATGGTGGAGGTGCCGGGTATGGGGTTAAATTGACCCTTGCGATTCCGACGGGGGTGCCCGACGCATTGACGTGTACACAACCCAAGATAAGGAAAAAGGACTTATGTTTGCTCTTTCCCTTGTGAGAAATCAGATTTGAGAGTGGCTGGGCGCATGGCATGGCCAGGCCTGGAGGTATAACATGCATGCTATGCACTTGATCAGCCATTTCCTTGTGGAATGGTTGTAGCCCTCCTTCATCCGGTGTTGGTGCTCACCAGTCCGGAGAAGCCTTGGGCAAGTCGCAGGTCGACCCTTCCTCTTCGTATGAAAGAAGGGCTCCGGTTACCTGGCAGGCGGTTGGTGCTTGGCTTAGGCAGGGCGCCAATGAAAATCCCGCGGCGGAGTGATCGACCAAACGGGTGCCCTTCTATCTTCTTTTTTTAGCCCAGTGGGCTCATGCAGTTTGCACGTTTTTTTAAATGCTTAAAGGAACCAATATGAACACAACGGGTCATCAAGAAGGAACAATCCCGCCCTATGAAAGAACAGACAAGTGAAGAGAAAGGAGAATGAAGGGAGTTACTAGATTCCAAGGAAAACTAGCTCGCCTTTGAAGATTCTCACCAGAGGGAACCAACCACTATGTATGAAAGTAAGGGGAGTGGCACTCATTGTCCTGAGAGAAAATTGTGAGTTAAGGGTAGGAAGCGCTGGGTGCACCAAGGGAAAGGCACTTGTACTATATGTGTCCCGCTTGGGACTTGTGTTTGCATGATGGGATTCGAGCGTCCTGCCTTTCGGAAGGAAAGGATCGGTCTGCACTGGCCAGTGAGGGTTGCAAAACGTCATTCTCTTTTGTAGGCTGTCGTGTGTTCGTATGTGGAGGTCAGGCCACCGAGCTGTCGGACGGGAGTTTGTCACGTCGGTTGATTAGTAGCATTCTCGTTCGAGCGGTGACGGGCTTCGGCTCGATGATCTGCCGGACGGGGTGTGAAATCTCCTCAGGCGAGGCTTAGCCTGTTGGTTGGCGGAGGGAGTACCACTGCATGCGGACAAAGACGGAGCCTCGGAGGCGATTAGTAGCTTCTCGTAGCATGGTTTTTGGAAAGGCTGATTCTTGTCGAACCGATGGAAGTGAATGCCCGGACGGCTGACTTTGTCCCTGTATTCAGGCACTCGAGGTAACCCTCGGTGTCGGTATGGATGTTCAAAGCGGCAAGACAGGATGGGGTATTTTGGGTAAGGAGGAAAGGGCGAATGCCTTGCCGAGACCTGGGTATCGCGCTCGCGACGGTTGAGCTGCGCTTGAGGTATGGGATAAAACTTTACCGATAGTATCAGCGGAGAGACCATATTGGGATGGCCGGTGAGGAGATGACCGGCCCGTATGTGAGATTGCCTGATTTTTTTTTATGTGTCCCCCCTCCGTAAAGGTTGGTTGAGCTTGGATTGTTAGACGGGCATTCTTCTAAGTCTATTCCCCCTCGCTTCTAAGTCCACACGAGTGAGTGATGATCGGAAGGAAGAAGGATAGAGGTCAGTTGGAATGGAACCAAGAGAAAGAATGTGGGCAAATGGATGGCCGGCCGAGGGAATTATGGGAAGGAGGTGCTTAGGAATGGGAAGGTAAAATCGGGAGACCTTAATGGGTGGTCCGAAATAATCCTCATTTAGGAAAAGGGGTTGACCTGACCAGAAGAACCGGTTGGTACTCTTTCATGAAAACAGGGGCCGGGTGCTGGAAACAAGATGGCGCGATGGTTGTCTCCCCCGACTTATACTAGCGGTCCAGAGATGCCAGTAGACGTAAAGGATGGGGTGTCGGTCGTCCTCCCGGAAGATGGGGCGTGGACGGACCTTGAACCAGCATATCAAACCGTGATGCTGGAAGGGAAGGACGCGTTCCTATGGATAGAGACGTTATGGGCTAATGTTAGCTTGACTAGGTTGCCCCCAAGTTTAATGGATTTGGAGTTCCGGGAAACAGTGGAAGCTCGGGGGTGGGTCTACTTGTCGCAAGATGGGGAAAATGCTATGGTCATAAAATTGGCACTCGGGATACGCCGGACGAGTTGTTTAGGAAGGCGGAAGCAGAGATTGTGTGGGCTGCATGTCAGCGAAGGGAAATGGAAATGGAAAGGGTAGATGTGCAGGTGGAACTTGGGGATAGAGGAAGCATGAGGCGACCCGTAAGAACCATGCGATGTGTGCTGCCTCCCTCCCTAGTGGATGCGGTTTTCGGAACTCGGAGCAGGCTAGTACGGATATGCCAGTTCATCACGAACCTCGGGCTATACCAATGCGCTAGGCAAGATTTTTTTCGGTTGTCGGTAGAGATGGGGCCGTTCGAGGGAAACTGGGCGGATTGAGCTGGCCGAGATACTAAACTACCTTAGCATAGACAATATCTTTGTCCCTAGCTCTGTGCATCGGGGGATAGTCTACAAGAATGTGGCAATAGGGGAGACGTTTGGGGTGAGGGGGTTGTTATACAGCGAGGAGGACGACCTTAGTGATGAAGACGAAGACAACGAGATGGAGGACTTTGACTTCTAAGAGGGGTTGGGTAACTTAACCTAGGAAGGACGGGTGGCCTGGTATTGTGCAGGAAAGGGGAAGATGACTAGAGAAGAAAGGATGATGGAATACACCTTCAAAGGTTGGGAACCGTTGTCGGGACTGGCGAGTCCCGAACGATTTTCCGTCACTCGAGAGACTGTATATGACCAGTTTGTGCACGACAGAGAAAACTGGAGGCAGGAATGCTGAAAAGATCGGAAGCGTGGGCACAGACGGTAGGAAGCTAGAGGCTGCCCAGAATTGTCAGGACCGCCAAGCTAGAAAGGAACTGTCTAAGCGGGGAGCGGCAAGGGACTGTGAGAGAATAGCAGGAGCGACTTTTTTCCCAAGGACGGAGAAGGGCCGCCGGGAAGTCGGTAGTAGCATAGGGGGTGCGCAGCAAGGGAAGGAAGGAAAGAAGGAAGGGACAGGGCGGAAGGCGCCGGCGCGACGCGGGGGTGGGGAGGCCAAGGAGATCGCGGGTTAGGTGGGAACCGGCGTCCGGAAGGGAACAGTGTGTGGGACGCAAGGGGGGAACGACGAGCGGAGATCGCTTTAAGGTGGAAGGGCGTCAGGAGCACCAAGGGAAGACATGGCACAGGCAGGATAAAGTGTCGGGACCACAAGGAACTAAGAAGAAGTGTAGTGCCGACGGGACTAGGTGTCGGGGACCACGCGAGACCAAGGGACAGCGTGGTATCGACAGGGCAAAGTACCAGGAACTGTGTAAGGCCAAGGGATAGATGAAGCACGGGCGCACCAAAACGCTAGGATCCACGTGGGCCTAGACAGGATGGCGGCACCAGCGGAACCGTTAGTAGGGCGGGTATCGATGAGATAAAGCGTCAGTAGCCGCGGACGGGGGCCGAAGGTCGGAGCCGTCAGCAGAACAGTTGGCGACCGGCCCGATAGAGGGACGCGCGCGAGCGGGTCGTCACCCGGGGTGACGCCGGACGAAGGGAGGAATTAGGAGCGGTAAGAAAAGGAGGGGAGGTCGGGCGCTGACAGAAAATGTCGACGAAGCGGGGGAGACGGACATGTGACGGGAAAGACGGAGGACACCTGGGGCGACCCAGGGGGATCCTGGATCCAATGCGACGACAACAATAAAAATAAAATAACATAATATCAGGTGGGCGGGATCGCCCGGGCCAGGGGTCCGGATAAAAATGATAAGTACCGCCACGGCAAGCGCCGACAGGAGATGCCAAGGGGGAAAAGAGGAGGGGATAGTAGTAATGAGGGGGCCGGCCAGCAGTCCAGGTTATTCCGGACCAGCCAGGCCAAGAAGAACGAAGTCTCGAGGGCCCCACGTGGAGAAAAGGCTGGCCGGAGAAAATCGGAGCAAGGGGGCCTCGAAACTGGAAGCAGCGACAGTAAAAAGGAGCCCCCTTTGGCCTCGGGGGTGCCACTACTGCAGTCCGAGGTGCAGCGGCCATAGGCCGGCTGCAAATCAGACCTTGGGAAAGGTCCAACAGCTAGTAAAAGGAGAAATAGTTGTTGGACACTTGTCCCAACAGTAAATGAGAAAAGAAAGGAGAAAAAGGGGGGGAAATGAGACAAAGGAGGAGGAAGGAGTGGAGGAAAAAGTGCCGCCAGGTTGGGACTGCAGCAGTAGGGACTGGCAGGTCTCAATGATGACCTTGTCCCTCCTAGATCCTAGGAGGGCAGTCCGGATTGCAGAGATAAGGTCCTTGGGGCATTATCTCTGCAATATCTGAATTTAAGCAACAAAAAAAAAAAAAAATGTTGATGTGAGTTGGCCGGCTCATTTTTGGGCCTTAGATCTGAGATTTGATCTTGCGCAGGAGGAGATCTAGCCGTTTTTTGTGGGCTGGCACAAAACGGCTAGCTCCGGAATGAGTTGGCAGCAAATTGGAGGGAAAACAAAGAGAGGAACAAGACAAAACTGCGAATTTGGCCCAAGTTTTGGGCCAGGTATATCAAAAAAATTGAAAATTGGAGCAAAAGGCTCAAATTTGGAACAAGGGGGAGCTTGGAGTAACTCGGAATGATGAGAACCATAGATCTCAGCCAAATCCAAGGCTGAGATTTGTGCCGCCACTTGGGAAAATGAAACGGCCTACTCACAAGAGGCCTAGACTACGAAAAAATGAAAAACAGGCCTCTAGGGCCTCAAAATTTGGTAAAGGCTGCATTTTGGGGTAGTGGTACCGAAAAGGCAACACTTTTTGAAAAGAAAAGAGGCCGGGGTAGGCCAAGGGGTAGTCCGAGAGGGTACCAACCTCTCGGACTGCATGTACCTGGCCAAAATGAGGCCAGGTACCTCCAGGTAGGCCAAAACTGGAAATTTGGCCCTTGGGTACCTCGCTCCACCTAGAGGCACTTGGAGTGGCCTAGAGGTAGGGCGGTGCACATGTTCCAGCCTATATAAGCTGGAGGTGTAGGCCGCAACTCTCATTTGAGCATGAGAGGTGCCCATGCTGCCCAAATGAGTCTGTGAGTGAGTACTAGTGAGATAGAGCAAGGAAGTGAGAGTCGGAGCTAGCCTGTAGCCTGGCTATGGTGGTAAGGCTGAGAAAGGTGACCTAGAGGCTAGGAGGAGGCAAGGAGAGTGGTCCGCCATAGTCCTCAGGCTGTGAAGTAGGAGGAGAGGCTGAATGGGGGTCCCCATAGCCCTTCTAGAGGGAAGGACTCCACAGCCTTAGAGGCAGGAACCTGCCATAGCTAAAGGAGAGGTGTATGGGAAGGAGGAGAGAGCTTGGGAGAGAGGAAAAGCCATACTCAGGAGGCTAGGACCAAGCATTGGGACTCCACTGCCTATAGATCAGCAAGAGGTGAGTGAAGGAGGAAGGAGGCCACCTTCTCCTTCCTCTTCTTCTTCTTCTTCTTCTTCTTCTTCTTCTTCTTCTTCTTCTTCGTCGTCGTCGTTGTCGTCGTCGTTTTCTTCTTCTTCTTCTTCTTCCTCCTCTTCTCCTTCTTCTCTCCTCCTTCTTTTTTCCTCTTCTTCCCCTTCTTCTTCTTCTTCTTCTTCTTCCTCTTCTTCTCCCTTTCTTTTCTTTCTCCCTCTCCTCCCCCTCCCCCTCCCCCTCTTGTCAAAGCTGCGATTTTCACTGATTTGGGGGCTTGGGTTAGTTGCGATTCACCTTGGGATAGTTCCGTGATGTTTCCCCTTCATAGATTGCTTCAAACTTTGAGTTTTCACTGATTTGGG